CCTGGTGGCTTCTTTCTATTGGTGTTCATGTGTTTTTGATCTTTGTTATCTCTTTCTAATATGTTCTTTAGAGCATTCTGTAGGGCTGCTTTGGTGGTCATAAATTTCTTCAGTTGTTCTTGGTCATGGAAGTACCTTATTTCTTTTTCAACTTTGAAAGATAGTTTTGTGGAGTAAATCAATCTGGGTTGAAGATTGTTTTCCTTTAGGGTTTGAAATAGCTCACTCCAAGCTGTCCTTCATTTGAAGGTTTATGTTGAGAACTCTGATGTGATTCTTATAGGCTTTTTTTTATTGGTGACATGTTTCTTTTATATAGCTGCTTTTAACATTTTGTTCTTGTGCTGAATTTGAGAAATCTTGATTATTAAATGCCTTGGTGTAGATTTATTTTGATTATGGCTATTTGGAGTTCTCTATGGTTCATTCATTTGTATGTTGAAGTCTTTATCCATATTTGGGAAGTTTTCTGCCGCTGTTTCTGAGAAGAGGTCTTTTAAGGGCTTTTGTGCTGTCTCTGGCTTTCTCACGGATTCTGATCAATCTTATTTTGTTCTACTTTTCTTCATCCTGTAGCTGTTGGATTGATTTTTTTTTTTGTGGTCTCTTATGATTTTTAGATATCTTTCTTTTCCTGGTTCTTAATCCCGTTCCTGTCTTTTAAAACTGATATTCTATTCTCACCTTCATTCAGTCTGCTGCATATACTTTCAATGGAGTTTCTAATCTCCTGCATTACTGTTTGTTTCATTGATTCCATTTCTTTTCTATGTTTGGTATCTATGGTTTACATCATTTTCCTGAGCTCCTCCATTTGTTTATCTCAGTCTGCTTTAATGTCTCTTATTTTAATAGTGATTTTTTTTGCACCTTAGAGATTATTTTTTCTATGGCCTCTTCCAATTGTTTGTTTGTTTGTTTGTTTTTTTACTTCTGCTGCTTTCATTTCAGAGAGTTCCATTTGTTGACTTCGAATTTCCTCTTTCTCTTTCTACTCTGAATTTGTCCTGGGTCAACTCTTTGGGATTGTATTTTGCTTCTTCATCTTGTCATTTTCTATTTTTTATTTTATTTTGTCTTGTGTGTTGATACTTGTAGATTTTTTTATGCTAGATAGCCTGTGTCTCTTCTCTGGATGTCTTCTACATGTAAGTGGTCCTTGGTTTTTATGTCTATGCTAAGAATCTAATTTACCAATATATTAAGTCTGAGGAGTTTCTATCAGTTGGACTTAGAGCCCATTCCTTTGGTAACGGACTATGGGGATGGTTATGACCCCTTACAAACACAGTGTTGTCATGCAGGGGGGTGTGTTTGAAGGCATGGAGATATACAAAAGCAGGATTTGAGGAATTTTGTTAGGAGAATAATGAAAAGACAGGGTAAAGGAGTTTAGTTTATTGGTAGTTTTTTGGTTATAGCATGTATGACATCCTGGTTAAAGTAGTTTATTTCACAATAACAATAGACACAAGTACAGCCTGGCTACTGACAAATTGTAGTAACTATTACCCTGATATCTATAACTGTATGAGGAAGGTCTACAGAAATATAATGTAACCCAACTTATAGCAGGAATTTGTATGCAATGATTTTCCACTTAGTGGAGTGATTTTACCCATTGTGGGGTGAGGGGTTCACATGGGTTGAGATAGGATGGAAAGATGAAGGAGGTTAAGTAGAATAGGAGCAAGGTTGGAAGGCACAGGATGATCATGCAGATTTTGGATAATTGTAGGATATGGGGCAAATGACTGGAAGAGAAGGCCTAGGAGTTTTGCAGTGAACTAGAAAGAGAATATACAGTGTTTACTTGCATGAAAGTATCATAAATTGCAGTAAGATAGCTGACAAAAGAGAGGGAGAGGATGAGTAAAATAAAACAAAAAGAAAGTTTAGACATCATCCATTGGCTCGTACTGCTAATGTTGCATGGGATATTTCCATGCCTCTAGCTCCACCTGTCCATCATGTCCAACTTAGCCAGGGTTTTACTGTGTCACTGGTGTTGCCACAGGTCTCCAGGCCCTGAGTCCCACCAGTGGAGGGATGGAGGGATCTCAGACTTCTCTTGCCAGCCACTTGATCCTGGGGCCATGGAGGAAGGGAGGACCACAAATTCACACTCCTGTCTCCAGCTGAGCAGTCTTGGGAGAATGGAGCAAGGGAGGAATGAGATCTCACACTCCTCTCACCAGCTGCACCATCCCAGGACAATGGATGAAGCTATCTTTCCCTTTTTTGATGTCCTATTCGATCTCCTTTTTCAGAGTACTCTAGTTTTTAGTAGAGTATTTCATTTTCCTTGCTGCTATTGTGAAAGGTATTGTTTCCCTACTTTCCCGCTTGGTGAGTTTGTAATTTTTTACAGGAACCCTATTGATTCTTGAGTGTACTTTGTCTCCTGATAAACTACTCTCTAATTGCTCTGGTCAATGTTGTGAGAACTATATTGACCTGGGATGGAGATAGCCACATCCTTTGCCTTGTTCCTGATTTTAGAATGAAAGCTTTTAGCTTCTATCCTCTTAGTAATTTGTTGGCTGTTGGTTTGTCACAGATGGCTTTTATCACATGGAGATGAAGTCCTTTTATACCTATTGTCTTCAGGTTTTTTATCATGAATGTATGTTGGGTTTTATCAAATATTTTTTCTACATCTATTGAAATGAACATATGGTTCTTGTCCTTGCTTCTGTTTATGTGGTATATTACATATACTGATTTTTGCATGTTGAACCTGTGGAGAAACTTTTTTGCAATTGTGTTTGAAGGCATGGAGAAAGCCAAAAGCAGAGTTTGAGGAATTTTGTTAGGTGAATAATGAAAAAGCAGAAGGTAAGGAAGTTTAGTTTATTGGTAGTATAGTACTGGTTTATGTTCTCTAAAGGATCAGACTATATGTACTGTATATAGACATATAGGTATAGATGTATAAATACCTATGTATATTTATGCAAGGTTTTATTAGACAGGCTTCCAGGATCAGAGATATTAATGTCCACAATGGCCATCTGCATGCTGAAAGGATCCAGTAGTTGCTCAGTTGAAGAACCTGGAAGCCACAGGATAAGAGGAATAAAAGACACAGTGCCAGCCCAAGACTGAAGGTGTGGAAGCTCCCTGGAGAGCTGCAGGTGTGAATTTGCCTTGAATGGCTGAAGGAGTTGGAGTCTGAACTCTCTAAGTGATTGTAGTAGCAAAAAAGAAAAAAAAAACGAAAACAACAGCAAGAACAACTGCTGTAGCAGAATGAAGCTTCTCAAATGCAGGCAGACTTCTTCCTCTCTTTCCATTCCACCTCAGGTGCAAACCTGTAGGATGGTGTCACCCACATCAGGGAGGGTCTCCCCCCTCAGTTTGCTGGTCCACATACTCACAATCTCTGTACACTCCCACAGACACACTCAGCAGTGTGCTTTACTAACCTGCTAAATGTCCGTTAATACACTCAAGGTGACAATCACCATTAACCATCACAGGGAGTGTTATTAAAATCATGGTGTGAGCTGGGCATGGTGGCGCATGCCTGTAATCCCAGCACTTCGGAGGCTTAGGCAGGAGGATCCTTGTGAGTTTGAGACCAGCCTGGGCTACAAAGTGAGCGCAAGGCCATCCTGAACTGCATAGTGAGACCCTGTCTCAAAAAGACCAAGAATAAAATAAAATATGATCTGGTGTATCTTATCTCCATATAAATGATCTGGTGTATCTTATCTCCATATAAAAAACTGAGAGTAAAACAGGGTAGCAGTCAATGACGTTGGTGAACACAAAGGATATTAAGGGGAGAGAATATGGACAGAAAGAAATGTACTTCAACCAGTTTAAAAATGGGGTAGCTTTGAAGATGTAAAAGACCAAGGATCTTTGGAGACATTCTCACTTTTCCAATTATACCTTACCTAGTGGAGAGGAATTGAAAACTTTCCTTTCTTTTTCATTATTCCACTGAAATGAAGCAGACATTATTTTTTTGGTTCTGTTTTGAATTTTAGTAACTCTAAAATTAACCTGCTTGGAGTTCCCGTAGCTTTTTCATTTATTCTTTGCTGCCTGTTCCTCTCTATGGCTCGTTTTAAACATATCTCTGAGGAAAATTCACCGTGCTACCAATCTAATTCTGTAAATGTCTTTGGCTTTCATGTGAGCTATATGGTGGCAACAACTCCCAACCTCACACCCCAAAAGGTATATGGGCACTACAAATTAATCGCGCTTTATAAATGGCGCCTTAGAGAGTCTGTAAAAAGGGAAAGGACTTCAGCCAGCAAAATCCCAAGGAACACATCACTTAGACTCTCAGGAAGGCTAAATTTGATCATTAAATGTGCTGCGTGAATGCAGTAGTGCTTCCTAATCTCCTACAACCACTAAGCAATGTGCAATTGCGTAGTTTTAATCTTAGGTCTTGGTAAAATAACTCAGTAACACCCACTCCAGGGCTGACGGGGGCGCGCTGGATGTAGATTCTGGCGAGTTATCCGCCTAGGACAGAGATGGCCAGGCAGGAGACCTAAAACAGAGGGGGCAGTGGAGTTCTCCCGGGAGGAGTCATTGTTCTGCGGCTTGCTACATTCTCTACACGCAAGCCCCTCCCTTGTCTGAAGTCAATTCATGAAGATTTAACTTCATTACAAAGGGGATGGGAAAAGGTGGGGTCTGGCTCAGTGTCCTCAGTCTAGGGCGGGCCCGCCCAGATCTGGCAGAGCAATGGGCGAACCCAGGAGGATAGAAAGGCGGGGAGAGGCACCCGGGTGAAGGCGGGACGGGTGGCAGCCCAGCCGGCCAATAGGCGGCTCTCCAGAGCCTAAGCCGAAAGGGTAGAGGAGCCGTCACTACTAGCACCACTGCCTCCCAAGTTTCCCCTCGTGGATGCAGGGCCCAGGCAGCTCCGCTCGCCCCGGCGCTGAGGGGCCCAGAGAGGCACGCGGAGCGGACTCGGGTCGGGGTTTCTGATCAAGAGCAGAGGACAGGCGCCCGGCCCGCTCTGGAGGGTCCGTGAAAGATGAAGGGCAGGCGGCGGCGGCGGCGAGAGTACTGTAAGTTCGCGCTGCTGTTAGTGCTCTACACCCTGATGCTGCTGCTCATCCCCTCAGTACTGGACGGTGGTCGCGACCGGGACAAGGGTGTTGGACACTGCCCCGGCCTGCAGCGCAGCCTGGGAGTGTGGAGCCTGGAGGCGGCGGCGGCCGGCGAACGCGAGCTGGGCGCAGAGGCGCGGGCCGACCCCGAAGGGAGCACCGGCCAGTCCCCGGGCAACCTCAGTGCCGTCGTCGGGCAGCCGTTGGCTCGCGAGAAGCAACACATCTACGTGCATGCCACCTGGCGCACGGGCTCGTCCTTCCTGGGTGAGCTTTTTAACCAGCACCCAGACGTGTTTTACTTGTACGAGCCCATGTGGCATCTATGGCAGGCGCTGTATCCAGGCGACGCCGAGAGCCTGCAGGGCGCACTGCGAGATATGCTGCGTTCTCTCTTCCGCTGCGACTTCTCTGTGCTGGGGCTGTATGCGCCGCCGGGGGACCCCGCCGCGCGAGCCCCGGACGCAGCCAATCTCACCACGGCCGCCCTGTTCCGCTGGCGGACCAACAAGGTCATCTGCTCGCCGCCGCTGTGCCCCGGCGCGCCCCGTGCCCGCGCCGAGGTGGGGCTCGTCGAGGACGCCGCCTGTGAGCGCAGCTGCCCGCCCGTAGCGCTCCGCGCACTGGAGGACGAATGCCGCAAGTACCCGGTGGTGGTCATCAAGGATGTGCGCCTGCTCGACCTGGGTGTGCTGGTGCCCCTGCTTCGTGACCCAGGGCTCAACCTGAAGGTGGTGCAGCTTTTCAGAGACCCTCGAGCCGTGCACAACTCGCGCCTCAAGTCCAGGCAAGGACTGCTGCGGGAGAGCATCCAGGTGCTACGCACTCGCCAGAGGGGCGACCGCTTTCACCGTGTGCTGCTGGCGCAAGGCCTGGGGGTCCGCCCCGGGGGCCAGTCCCGAGCACTGCCCGCCGCCCCTCGGGCAGATTTCTTCCTGACTGGAGCACTAGAGGTTATCTGCGAGGCTTGGCTGCGCGACCTGCTTTTTGCGCGCGGAGCTCCTGGCTGGCTGAGGCGCCGCTACCTGAGGCTGCGCTATGAGGACCTGGTTTGGCAGCCGCGCACCCAACTGCGCCGTCTGCTGCGCTTCACTGGGCTGCGTGCGCTCGCTGCACTGGACGCCTTCGCGCTCAACATGACGCGCGGCGCGGCGTATGGCGCGGACCGACCCTTCCATCTGTCTGCACGCGACGCCAGGGAGGCCGTGCACGCCTGGCGAGAGCGCCTGAGCCGGGAGCAGGTGCGCCAGGTGGAGGCCGCCTGTGCTCCAGCCATGCGTCTGCTGGCCTACCCTCGCAGCGGAGAGGAGGGCGACGCGGAGCCACCCATGGGAGGGGAGATGCCACTGGAGACGGAGGTCGATGGCGCCACGTAACCCTTCAAGCCCACTCTCGGGCGAATCCTGGTAAGATGCCCATAGGCTGGGCAGAGTATTAACAAAGGTCCTCCTGGAGTCTGAAAGGGCCCCTTGGGGGAGGTGGAGAGGGGATGGTGAGGTCTGGAATCCCAGGGTATCAGATCAGGTCCTGATTCATAGGGTTCTTCAGCTTAGCCACCCACTTCTTCAGAGGAGGAACCTGATCAATAGAGGATGCTTAAGTGCATCTGGTAGCTGAAGCAGATGCTACATCTCCCTCTCAGTCCTCTCTTCGGAGGGGAGGTTAAGACAGTGTCTCTATTTTGCAGTGCAGGCTGGCCTTGAACTCAAGGCGATCCTTCTGCCTCAGCCTCCCGAGTGCTGCGATTACAGGCTTTCGCCACCACGCCTGGCCCTAGACCCCTGTTTGAAGTGGGAGGTATGAAAGATCAGAGGACAGTAGAAAAAGTTTGAAATAGTCACAGTGGAGCTTTATATGTGAAGAGTACAAATTCAAGGAACTCTTTGAGGTTGATCGTTATGAAAGTATCTTCATGCCAGATTGTCATGTGGGGCAACTTTTTTCCATGCTGTTTGCTTGGCAGAGAGAAACCAAGAGCAATGTGTAGTGAAAAGGCACCAACACTTTACCCCTATGTATTCCTTGTAGAATAAACTTTGCTGTCCCCTAGCTCATGTGTGTGCCTCTCCTTCCCCACCCCTCTCCCAGAGCTGGGTTTGCAGGATATCTGACCGTAACCCTTTTGCATCATGTGCCAAAGGGTGAAGTCAGCTTCCTTTAGTGCCAGCAAGACCTCAGGGCTGTGTTGCTCCTACTCCACCCCATCCATTTGAGTGATGGACTGTAGATGGGCAGTAGCAGTTTCTGAGGAGCCACGCCCTCTTTTCTTCATTCTCTGTAGTATACATCTGAAGATGCTAAAGTGGCCTCTAACACTGGTCTAAGGGAAGAGTTTGTTCTGCATAAAGATGACCACAGGAGTCATGTAACCAACATGGGAATACATTTCCCTGAACTGTAAGTTGGAAGGGTGCCACTTTCTGCACGGTGCAGATCAGAGGAGGAAAAGCAGTGCTGAGTGGGTGGAAGTGACTTAAATTTCCATTCATTATTTTATAGCGTAATTCAACATTCCCTGGCTGTGTTCCGGGACAAAGGTTGAAGATGTTAATGAAGATGGATTTTGTTGTCAATAGAGCTAGGGCTTCAGAGGGATTTTAGAAGCTGGCTGATTTTTCTCCCAGTAATCAAGTGGTTTTGTTGATCATTTTCTGTAATTGCTAGGAAGTCTGTGTTCCTTCCTGACTTCCAGCGTGGAAGAAAGTAAGGCACAGAATAAACTGTCACGTCTTAACAAAAACATCCTTTCATCTGCTAAGTCTGTATTGACAGATGGAACATAATCATCCCTAATCTTCTTTCACAGGCCTCAGGAGTTCCACCCCTAGCCAAATGCTGCAATATTTTATGGTTTCAGGACAATTTTGCAAAAATTTCTGCTCCCTTCATTTTTACTAATGTGTATTGAATACTGGCTGGATGAGGTAATAAAGACAAGGGAGAGAAGGGTACAGGACATGGACTCTGCCCTCTAGGAAGTGCAAATCTGTGCTCCTGGCAGCGACTATGGGGAAAGACATCGATGCCACTGTTTGGAAGTACAGTGGGGCTTCCTTTGTATGGACATCTGGGTGCAAGTTTGAAGCTCTTCCAGAATGGTGGCTGAGCCCTTCCTCCCACATTGGGCTCTTCCTACTAACCAGTGCATTTATTAAAATGGTTGTGTTCCTGGTTCCTAGGAAGATAATTTTCTGATCCACTGGTGAGTTTTCCAAAAGTTTACCACACTCTAGGAAAGGAAGGGAATGGATACTTATCAGAGTCTATGCCATGCATTATGTTAAGCATTATACATATGTGATTATACCAATTTACATATGAGAAGCATGAGACTCAAGTAACCTACCTAAAGTTTCACCTGGGCTAGTGAAAGTGGAATGGTGATCAGTGTTAGATTCGAGAGCCCATAATCTCTCCATTGTACGTGCCCTGCCTGGCTCCCCTTATATGCCCTGGCAGCAACCCTGGCACCCCAGCTGGCCTTACAGGGTTGGGGAGCAAAGCACACTTAGCTTCATTACTAATACTTTCCTGTTGTAGTCAATAATTGCAAGAGAAACAGATTTAATGCAGGACAAAGAAATTTACAAGATTAACTGACAGTATCTGCCCACAGAGTCAAATGTAGGAGAAATCTTTCCACATGTACAGATCTTAGAGTATCCAGCCAAAAGCCTGGAGCCCATGGCAATGTCCTGTATGAACCTGTATCAGGAGGCCGAGGAATCTGTGGTGGAAAGCCTGAAGGGCTGGTGCCGGAGGCTAGAGAGTCTGCACTTACAGACCAAAACGCTCGTGCTGGAAGCTGAAGAATCTGTGCCAAAAGCCAGAAGACAACACTCAAGGCAAAGACTGGAGCTCCTCCAAGGAAAACAACAGCCATCCCTGGCAAAGTGAGGACCAGAGCTCCTTTGAACAGGATAGCCAAAGCTCTTCCAAGGAAAATCAGCTGAAATCCTTCCCTCCCATTCTCCTTTTATACCATTCAGCCTTAAGTGGGTCTTCCATGTGAACCACACTGACTCAACTGAGCCAGGCATTCCCACTCAAGCTGACAATTAATTAACCACCTCAGTTCCCAACCATGAACAAATAAACTATCCCTGAGCTGCTGACCGCACCTGCAGCCATCCTCCCCACAGGACACCTGAGTGTGCATGTCCTTGGCTCAGCAGTGAAAAGAGGTTGATGTGAGTTAACCTGAGTAACCTCTGGAAGGTCCATACCTGGTAGCCAGAATTTATGAGGGAGGGAGTAAGTGAGTTTTTCCTCAGGGCTGACCAGGAAGTGCAGAATCATGAACTAAGTTACCAAGGACTCGGGCTCTTTTACATCTTCTTCGCTTTCACTATTAGCTCATGTCCTCACTGTCAGAAGACAGTAGTCACAGCTCTAAGGATCACACCCTCATCCATCTGCATGGGATTGTTAAAATGCAGGAAGAAAGCTGGTTAGCAGATAAAGGATGGAGAGGTATTTCCTCATGCAATGCTCTTTCCTTTAATCTCCTTATAAAAACCTTTCCCAGAACTCTTTTCCTCAGCTGACTTCCTTTTATGTCTCATTAGCTGGAACTGGGTCACATGGCCTGCCCTAGCCCAGTAATTGGCAAAAGGGAATGGGAGCATCCTGATGGGCTTAGACCAGTATTTCTCAGCCCTGTCTGAAAATTACATCAGTGTCTCTCCTACCCTAATTCCTATCTTATCCTGGGCGTATGTTCTGAGACCCCTAGTGGATGCCTAAAATCGCAGACAGTACCAAACCCTATCTATCTATCTATCTATCTATCTGTCATCTATCTATATCTATATATCTATATATATATTGTTTTTTTACACACACGCACACACACCTATGATAAAGTTTATAAGTAGGCACAGTAAGAGATAAACAATAATAAAATAGGAAATGATAGCAGTATACTATAATAAAATTACATGAATATCATATTTCAACTGCCACAGGGCAGATAATATGTGCAGCGTGAATATGCTGGATGAAAGGAAGATTTATATGCTGGGAAGGATGAGGCAGGACTTCATGGGATTTCATCAAAACCTCAATATAAAATTTAGGAATTATTTCTGTAGTTTTCTATCAATATCTTTGTGTAGGAAACCAACCTGCTAGAAATGTCTAACTGAAGGGGGCAAACAGATTAAAGACACAAAGATAATTTTGAAAGAGGGACCAGGGGGCTATTGCCTCTGGTGGACAAAGAGCCCTGAGCATTTGGCTGAGCTTGCTTCTATTTACTTAGACATGGGAGCAAGCAATTAGTGTAGCACAGATTCATCTACCGCCTATTATCTATAGTATATGCCCAGGTAAACAACCACATCTCAGCTGTGCTAACTCTTCCCTAGAACCTGCAACATGCTGGCATGCTGGCTCATTTGCCAAAGGAGGAACAGCTTGCCAGTCCCTCCTTCATGTCCACAGGGAAGATCAGTAAGGCCTTGTTTCTCACTCTCTGGTCTCCTACATCTTTGGACTGCTTTTGGCTGGATAACTAAAACCTCAGAAAGTAAAACCATGGGTACTGGGGGAACTACTGTTGTACATTCAGCTGAGCAATGTTCTTTAAAAAATGCTAATACCTGAGCTCCACCTCTGGAATTTTTTTTTCCTTTTTGTGTAATGCTGGGGATGTTAACCCAGGGCCTTGCACATGTTAGGCAAATGCTCTACCACTGAGCTACACTCCCAGTCCAGGAGATTCTGACTTAATTATCTGGAGTGAAGTAGCTGATTCCACTGTACAGCCAAAGCTGAAAACCACTGGCTTGGACCAATCAGTGATTTATTTCTCGGCCGAGGAGTGGCACCGGAGCAAGATCAGAATGGAGAATCAAGGGCTGTTGAGCAGAAAACCGTCTACCACCATGATTTATGGGGAAAGAATTTGAAGTAATGAAGTGCCAAGTAGATTTAGGGCATTACTATGGAAAGGAAAATTATACGCGGGTCCCTTTATCACCCTGTCACAAAACGTCAGATGCCTTGTTGTCTGTGGCTCCTTATATAAAAGTCTGTCATTGTATGTACAGGAACATCTCCTGTTGTTCTGAACACACTGATGTGCTGTTCTGTCCTTTTCAGTGTGTCTTCTTTTGACTTCTACCCTTGGTACAACCCAAAATTTCATCCCTATGGGCATTTTATTTATTTATTTATTTACTTACTTACTTATTTATTTTGGTGCTGGGGATGGAAACTAGGGCCTCAGATATGCTCTCCACCACTGAGCCACAGCCACAGCTCCCTGTAGGCATTCAGGATACTTGAATCTTTGTTCTTGACAAGATACATGCACCCTTTAAAAGAAATGAGGGAAAGGCAAGTGCCCTGTATGCCCCAACAATCAGGAAACCTTCTAAGGAAATCATCTGAACAGAAAAAACAGTGCCAGCCACCATCAAATCCCCAATAACCCACTTTGAAAATCATTTCTTCTTAATCAAGGGTGTTTATGTGTAAATACTGCTGAAAATACAGTCTGTGGTTTATAACAGACTGCTAAAGAACAGGCATTAGAAAACATTGCCCTATATAGAATTTCTTATTTAACAAAATTTGTTCAAACTCCCAATAGCAAATCAATCTGGGTTCTGTGTTTGAGGCAGAAGGCCAAAAGTTAGGCGGCAGCAGCTGCTGCTGCTGGTGGTGGTGGTGGTGGTGGTGCTGCTGCTGCTGCTGCATATGTGGGAGCATGTGCATGTAGATAGCTATCTGAGTGACGGGGCTGCAGCAGGGTGTGAACATTTTTCTAAATCCCATCCATGTCCAATCATTATTGCCCTCTGAGGTTAGTGCTGCCTTTGATGGAGACATCCTCAGCACTACGGATTGGGCCTGCCTTTCCTGACAGGACTCTTCAGTTGATGGTGGACTTTGGTGCTCAGGAAAATTCAAGACTCATCAAACAGGGGGAGTGAGACAGGAGAGGAGGCTGTTCCTCTAAGGTGAGGGGTGCACCCAAAGTGCTGTTATTCCTTGCTTCCTATGAAGTCAATTTTTATATTAGGACACAAAGCCAGGCCTCAGGATGTGACTGTCCTGGTCACTACTTGAATAAGTATAAGAGGTTGGGGGCTAAGATTTCGGGCCAGTCAGAGTGCTTGCCTAACATGTATGAGGCCCTGGATTCCATTTCCAGTACTGTAAAAAGGAACAAATGAAACCCATAAAAACAAAAGGGAAGTTGAATAGGAAGATTTCTGAGGTTTCTTGGTGCTAAGGGGAGGTGACATTTAGTGAGTACCTATTTTGTACACTTGCTTGATGCGTAATGCCTCAGTCCTTAGCTCTACCTGGCAGATAGAATCCACATTTTATGGATGATGAACAGAGCTCGAGGTGAGATAAGTTGTTAAGAATTACACAAGAGGATTAAAATCAGGTTCTTTTTATTTTAAAATTAGTGTCTTTAAAATTTGTAAAAATAATGTAAACAAGTGGTAAAAAGAGTTAAACAGTATAGAAAGGTATAAAATAACTGCCAGTTTCAGTTCCTAGAAGTGACCAGCACATTTCTTGTGGTGTATGTCTAGAAAATTTTATGCAAATTGAAACTGACATATATAGCTTTGTACATACATAAGTGTATATTATCCTTTCTTTAACTTAATGCTGTTGAAATCTTCCTGTATCATCTCCTTTTTTAGTGGCTCTGAGGAAATTTGGCTGACTTTAAATAAAGTTCAACTCTTTATACAATGAAATATTGTATTTCATTGTAGAAATGTTAGTATATCTACATAGTTCTTCCACACTGTAGGACATTTAGATTGTTGTAGGTTTTTGCCATATTTCACTGCATTTTTTAGTAACAAATTTATGTTATCTTTGCATACATGTGAGTATATCTGTCAGAAATTTGCCATAGTAGTGTGGCCTTATGTACAAAAAGGCTCATGTTTTTTACGTTTTGAGAGGTAAAGTTCTTCAAAATCATTACAACTTTCACCCCCTACTAGTGGTTTCTTCAGATGTCTGTTTCCCAGACTTTCAGCAACTTGGATTTTATGCAATTTTCTCATTTTGGCTAGTCTGATAAATAAGAAACTCTTTTTGGGTGCACCCTGGCACCCAAATATATTGTAGTTCATCTTATATTATAGTTATATTATAGTTCATCTCAACCTGGATGATCGCTTCACACCTTGGTTGTAGTAACTAGGATGCCAAGGTGAAATAAACTTCTTAGCCCTTCTGCTGACCACATCTATTTGGAGAGTGTCATTTTTGTGATATTTTAAAGGATCAGGTACATTTTGATACAAAATTAGTATCCCTTTATAAAACCACATTTCCACATGACACCAGGTTTTAGCAAGTTTTTTTCTCAGGATGGCCTTCTTCACAGCTGTTGTATTGGATTATTGCACAAGGATGATTAACTTGAACAACAATGACTTGGGGACATTAGCTCTGAGGAAATTTGGCTGACTTTAAATAAAGTTCAACTCTTTATACATTTTCTCTGTGCTCCAGAGAATCCTTTCTATGGTCTCCCCAGGGTGGGTCACCCAGTCTGCAATCCCCCCAACTCCATGCTGGGAATGTAACCCAGGGTCTTGCCTAGGCTAGGCAAGTGCTCTACCACTGAGCCACACTCCTAGCCCCTTGAAGTTTTGGAGATAAAATTCAGAGGGTTTTCTTGGAGTTTTTGTTTGCTTGTTTGTTTGTTTTCAGTCTAGGCTGACATTTTCTTCTTGTGAATATAAATGTAACATAAAGGCTTGGGAGTGATGCTTTTAAAAATATTTACAAACAGGTGGTTTAAAATTCTTCAATATGCCTCTTCTTAGCCTGCTCTTAGCATGAGAAAGCCCACAAAAGAATGAAACTAAAGAAATAGACTGGCCTTCCTTTTTTCTGTCTGACATTCCAGACAAACAAGGTGACTAATAAATGACTTGCTCTCCCCCTCACTCCCTCCCTGAGGTCTCCTGGTCCCCCATCCTCTTGCTCCAGAGTGGAACTGAAGGAACTGCTGTACTGAAAGAAACATTTCTGCTCAAGTGTAGTATAGAGTAAGAACAGTAGGGACTAAGAAGCAGCCCTGGCCCAAGTTCAAGAACACTGGGAAGTGGAGAACTGTTTGGGAGCTGAACAGGAAGCCATTTCAATTGGAAA